CTGTTAGCTTCCCACCGAGGTGGTCCCTATTTATCTACTTGCATTTGCATGCTTTCGAAGCGCTAGGTTGGCGGGAGCTGGGACAAGCGACGGGTGCTCACTCCGTCGCGTGGATTCGATCTTACGACTGCTTGGTCTTCTGACCCTGCAGCACAGGCTTCTGCGGTTTAGCCCGCAGCGCCACCACGTCTTGGATAAACATACAAGATACATTTTTCCCTCTGATAATGGCGTATCTCTGGGAAGCCCAGAAATCTCTCGGACGCCCTAGTTGGGGTTTCTTCACCAGGAACTGAAGGCAATTATGTTTAAATGGAAGTCATTTCTTAAATATCCTGCTGCTCCCTAGTTTTGCTGTGATCCTTCCTGTGTTGGTTTCATTCCCACTTGTGTTTTTACTTAACTGCTTTTGAAGGTGCAATGCCTCCAAAATGTAGGCAGACAGCCCTGCTCCACTGGGGAACCTGCCTCCATTAATTCTACTTAGCTTAGCAATCCCCTGTCTTTTCCCCTAAATTCCCCACGGCTTTTGTTTTTCCTGCTGAGGAAGGCACTACACCTACCCCCATCCTCCATTAATGTTGCATACCCTTTTCCGACAACCGTAGGAAGTTACCGAAGCCTGGTTTTGTTTATGTAAATATGTATGCTAGGATGTAAGAATAGGATGGTACTGTCGTAGCTTTACACACTTGGAAAGAGAAATGGAATGACATATGTTAAATAATTTAAATGGATTTCTGCAGCATGAAAACGGTGTCATCCCTAAAGTCCTAATTACCACCAGCGGTCAGCATACTAGTTTCCTTTTTATTTTCCTCTTGCATGATTAAAGCACAGTGTCTTCCAGCAACTCCAAGTTGTTTCAGCACATCATTAAGGTATGTTTTTGACTGTATTTTGTTTTGAAATGTCTTCCTAACTAGGCCAATCTGCTGCTATCCCCTGGTGTCTAAACACTTCATCCAAATTTCAGTACTAGCACATCCAGTGCCTATAATTCTATTGCATTGTGATTTCTCCTTAACATATTGTTTCGTGCTCTTCATTACCAAGAAACATTTGCAGCATGGAACCCTAGGGGGTGGGGTGAGGGGGCTGCAGAATGATGATCCCATTATACTCTACCATTGGACATAAGATGGTGTACATCTGTGCCTTTGTTGTATACAATTCCATGTCAAGTCTCCAAGTGTCTTTAAAACCCACAGTCAAAACCCACTCAAAGGATAATCATAGAGTGCAGGAACAGACCAAAAGATGGTACACAGTACCTTATAGCCTTGAACACCCCTTGGCTTGCATGGGGAATTAAAGCAATGGCTCTATAGTTCCTGCAAGCTTTGATATCCCTTTTCTTTCAGGCCATTGATGTGCTCTTCATATTTAATGGCATACTCTTTGTAGACTCAGTGTCTGTAGCTTAAATAGCTTTACTGGGATCCCTTGTACTCCTGATGATTTATTTCTTCCATGTGCTTTGAGAGCAGTATTCTCTTCACTTTCTAAAATTGTAGGATTGTCATCAAAGGATTATTTTTTGAAGGGATCTGTCATTGTTGCGTCTCTTCTGTATCATTTTTAAAATCTTGGTCACATAATATATTCCTCTGTTGATCTTCCAGGATCCCTAATATTTGTTTAAATCTATCTTTGATTTCCTGAATCCTAGTTCTCTCCTGCTTCTTTGTCATGGTTACTGTAGTAGTTCTATTTGTCCTTATGTGCAAGCTGCTGAAAAGTTGCATTAATGATTCTGACCCTATTTCTGTCATCACTTACTTTTACTTCTCATCTCATATCAACAATTTTAAGACTTTTATCAGTCATGAACTGAGACTTTTACTCTTTTTTCTTGGCTACATGAATGGTCTTTTCACATTTTCCTCTATTAATACCTGTTATTTCACCTTACAATTCTTCTGGTTCATGGTCTACTATATCTACTAATGCATATCTGTCTCATAATAACTCAGAAAGGTAACATATTATGGCAGTTTAAAAACTAACTCTTTCCTTGAGTCTTCAGATAGGGAGACAAGTCTCAGGATGACTGATGCCGCAAGAGGAGAAAGTTTACATATTTTATTGTCCGTGGAGACTTTAATATCTGGAATGGCCTTTGTCTCCTACTCTCAACTAGTAACAATCTCAAAGCAAAAATATTCCTATGTGTATTGTGTTTATATTTGTTCAGCAGGTAGTAGAGAAATTGTCTTGCACATGCTCTCATACACAAACAACTTTGTCGTTGTTACACAGGGACCTGCATTCTGATCTCAAGTTTTGGCCCTGAAATCTCAGCAGATGGGAAACAACCCAGTATGTTACAATGTAATTTATTTATTCCTTACTTATTGCAAAAAATAAAAGAAAGAAAGAAAAGCAATTACAAGTAAATCATTATTTGTAATGGGTTAATTCCAAACTCTGGGTAAAGCCAAGATGCTAATGATGAGTGATTCATTTGGAGTCAGCCTGTTCTGAATGGGACTGTAATTTCACAATACCTTCTGAGATCCACATGCACTAGGGTGGCTAGAAGTACACACCTGCAAGGGGACAACTTCCAAATGGCTATGGAGGTCTTACTGGATCCTCCTTCCCTAAACCATTTGGGAGCCACACCATAGCTGGATACATTTCTGGAATGTCTCACCAAAATTTGTGTGGGTGATGTAAAGACTGTCTGGAAATAATATATAAAAACACAGCAAAAGGACTATTACTTAAATATGGAGCATGTCTTCTCTATTGTTGAGAACACTTTCAGGTACAATCCTAACTGCTGATAAGGTCTTAAACAGATTGGGACCAGAATTCTTTTAAAAAATGCCATCACTTACAACTTTGTCGCAGCCTGGGCTCTTGAAAGGTAAAGAAACCATCAAACAGCAGATCTGGGATGCAGTCCTCCAAGCAGACCAGGTCTGAATTTTGCATCATCCCACAGCCAGGAACCTCTGCAAAATATTTGCCCAAACAAATTATCTTGATGCCCTAGAACTTACTAGATACCACAGAGCTTTCGCTCTGACATTTTTCAGTGCATTACCATTAGTGTTACCAAAAGAGAGGAATATGTTTATCGCATATTTACAAGGCCTTTGTCTTGCCAGGTCAGCGATGACTGAGACTGTCAAATATATTTTATTATTTGTTTATTTAATAATTTCCTTCCGAGGGAGGCCCGGAAGGAAAGAACTAGAAACCGGGCCTTCTCGGCGGTGACTCCTCACCTCTGGAATAACCTACCTCCGGAGATTCGCGCTGCACCCTTGCTGGGTACTTTTAAGAACCAACTAAAAACATGGATGTATAGGCAGGTCTTCCCTCCCAGTTAATTCCTGTCCTCTTTCTTTTTTCTCTCTCTTTATTTGATTTACAGTATTTTGTATTTTTCCCATCTTGCAGAATCATTTAATTAATTAATTTGTTATAAATTTTTCTTGAACTTGTTATGCTTTATGTTGTAAGCCGCCTAGAGTGGTCGAAATGTTTGCCTAATTTTTAAAAAATTCAGGGCAGATCTGACAATTTCTTTTTGTCTCTTCTCCCCTATATCTCTTCAAATGAAATCCCAGGTATGGTGGCAAAATTCTGTGCAATGGCATGTTTAACTAGAAAGCAACTGGTGAGCCACTCCATTAATCATACTAGAAACAATGCCCAGTTGTAACCAGGCTAGAAATCTGCTCTCTAACTATAACATTCCTGTAGATTTCTTGTTTGTTAACCACTATTTGGTTAATAAACTATTTTATCAGAAGGTACTCTGTTGTAGAGGAGATGATTATGATGATTACTACTACCACCAACAACAACAAATAAGATGGTGACGTTTTGTTCAGGCATCTTTAGATCGCCCTTCTTGGAGGTTTCCTCAGTGTGGTTCTCATTTGTATTCCCCACCCACCCCGTGGTCTAGACTAGAGTTATGGTGGAATTTTATTGAGGATGGAGGAAATGTTTAAGATGTATAAAGAACCAGCACTAAAAAATTGTTGAAACATTTAAAAAATATAAAGGTTATTAATGGTCCTCCTTTTAAATATATGCATCTTGCGAGCCACTTTGGAAAGCGGGATGAAAATGTAGTAAATACAAAGTAATACAGTATGTTTTTACCAGAGCCATCGAGGTCAACAGAAACCAACATGTTTTCCTAAAATTCTAGTTGATTAGTCACTGATATGTTTTTAAGGATTCAGAAAAGTCTAGACTGAGGGCTGTTCTGTATTTACTCTGTTTACAAAGTAAGATAATACAGTAAAATCCTTCCCGCAACAAGAAAGACTGAAGAGATAACTGTGGGCTGGTTTTAACCGGGTGACATGTCAGGCGAAGACTTCAAAAATTGAGCTGTTTCCATGTTTTTTTGTTTTTTAAGTGACTCCTCCTTTAATGCATCGCCAAAGCTCTATAGTTTGTTTTTTTTTCATCTGCTTCCTTTTTACCTCAGCGGTCTAAAACGAGGTAATCTTTTTTTTTTGTCCCTCTCCCTCTTTATGCCTATTGGCCAAACGGTCTGTTCGCTATGCATTGTGGGAAGAGCCCTCGTCTTGGCGCCAAGACTTTCTCACGCGTGAAGCATTATGGGGCGGGGGAAGACCCGCTCCTGCCCTTTCACTTCATTCCTTTCCAGCCGGATCTTTTCCTCCCCGCCCCTTTGGAATTTTAACGGTTTTCTCTTCTAACGGAAGTCTCGTTTACACACGATACTAGACTTGCATGCTACCCCGTTTCCATATCACCTTTGCCTAAATGTATGAATCTCTTGAACAGGGAAGTGGGGAACAAAAACCACAAAGCATTTAATTTTTAAACGGCGGAACTATTTTTTCTCTGCCCCTCAGTCGGGCCACGGACGCATGCGCCCTTGGGCGGCGGATGGAGGGGATTCTAGGCGGGGTGGAACGCGTCCGAATTGGCGCGTATTCCTCCCCCTCCCGGCCCTCGAGTGTGACGTCAGTGCGCGCGGGAGGATCCTTGCGCAGGGCAGGAAGGGCCGCGTGAGGCGGGCGCCATTTTGTGGCGGCTGTGGGAGTCGAAACGAGTAGAGGAGGAGGTGTTGCCGTCGCCGCCTTTTTTTTTTAACCGCCCTGCGCTTAACTTCCCAGCCCTTTTTTTCTCCCCACCTCTCTACGAGGTTAACTTTTATTGTTTTAACTCAGTTTTCCCAGCCCCTTTTTCCCCTTTCTTTCCCTTTTTCGGGTCTTTTAAATTTTTTAAATATTTTTTCTTTATTTTCGGCCCGCCTCTCTTGTTTCTCTCGTCCACGAAATCGGCCCGACCAACCGCAGCCATTGCCGACCTCGCCATGTCTGGTGGCGGCGTGATCCGCGGCCCGGCCGGGAACAACGACTGCCGCATCTACGTGGGCAACCTCCCTCCAGACATCCGCACCAAGGACATCGAGGACGTCTTCTACAAGTACGGCGCCATCCGGGACATCGACCTCAAGAACCGCCGCGGGGGCCCGCCTTTCGCCTTCGTCGAGTTTGAAGACCCCAGGTGAGGAGGACAAGGGCCGGCCTCAGGGGGCCGAGTGGTGGGCCCGGGGCTGAGGGAAAGCCCGAATGGAGAGCAGGGGCAACGCGGGGTCAGATTCAGGGAGGGAGACCTGTTTTTCCTCCCCCCTGAACCAACCTGCAGGCGTGCTGGACTACAACGCCCATCGCGCTGGGCATTCTGATGGAGGCGGAAGGGAAGGGTAGTCCAGGACCACGTGGAGCGGTGCCGGGCTTGAGGAAGGCGAGGTTTGGCCTCACCGGTTGTCCCTCGCTTTGCCTACCTCACTGGGTTATTGGGAGCATCCTCGACAAATAAAGGAAGAAGCCGGTAATGCCGCCTCCCCCAGTCTTAAGATAGAGACCTAGACCGCAAGAAAACGGCAAAGAGAAGTTCCTGGGTATCGCTCATTTCTATCTGTAAATGCGTGTTGGAGTTTTAAATGCCATGTACACGGTGGCCACGTTAAGATTTGATCAGGCCTGACAGATTTTTACCCGTTTCAGTTGCTTCAGAAGAGGAAAAGAATTGAAAAAAAATCAAAAGGGGCTGTTGATTTTATGAAGGTGGTGAAAGGCTAGGATTAAAGAGATTTGGGGTGGGTGGGTTTCAGAGCCCCACTCAGAGGTGGAGTTGTTATGTGGCAATAAGTAAACCACTCCCTGAACATATCATATGCCTGTGTGTGTTATGAGCTTTCCCGTCACTTCCAGCTTAGGGTGACCATAGGATTTCCAATGTAAGTGAGATACTTAAGGAGTGATTTTACCAGTGACACACAAACACACACACACACACATAGAGGTGGAAACACACACACATACCCACACATACACACACACACAGACAGAGAGAGAGAGAGGTGGAAATTTGAACTCAACTCTCCTGAATCACAGTCTGGCATTATCCACAATGCTGCACTAGCTCATCTACCTGGAAACCTTTCCTCCGGCCATCATAAGTTAGAAGTGGCTTGGCAGCATATAGCAGCAACAAATGTATTTTCATAGAAGGATGTTTTCTTCTGAGTACATCTCTTTACATATTATTGGTACATGTACGCTCAGTGTTTGTACTTTGTGCTGATCCTGTGGTAGCTGTCTGCGTAGAAGAGCCATACCAATTACAATTTTTCTTTTGTTAATTTTTTTTGGGAGAGCCCCCTCTCATTTCTACAAGTGTAGTCGCACCAATTGTTAATCTTAACTGGGCATCTTAGATGTTTGTGAAATATATTTTACAAAACAAAGTATGTGTGGCTATAGCTTGCAAAGTGGAATGTGTTTTCACTTGAACCAGTTGCGTTTCTGCTTAAGTCTAAAGAGGGCGGGCATGGCCTTGGAGTTTAATTGAATAGTGGAATTGCTCAAGAAAAGATGTGGCTGTGGAAAGTTCTGGTTTCATACTCCTAACAGCAGTGAAGTCCTGTTTTTTTGTATGTGGTCATCTTCCCTAGTTTTCTCTCAAAAACAACATCTGTATTTTCCCTGTACTAACCTGTAACTCTGTATTGTAGGGGTTACCTGCCTGTGAATTTCAGTCCATCACTTGAAATCCATGGCAGTAAGTTGTAATTCGCTGGCAAAAAAGCATATATGCTGTTTCACCCTCAGTGATGTAAAACATTAGATTGTGAGCATCTTATTCTGAAAGTTTTTAAAGAGTATTATTTATATCAGCACATTTTAAGAAATTGATTAGAATCTCGAAGAATACTGCAGATTGATGGACAGTTGTTTAAAACGCTACCTGAATACTTTTTGGTTTATGTCTGCAAGAAAAAGAGATAATAAGTAAGGGAAAGGATCTGGAAAATTCCTGAGGGGCCATTTCCTCATGGCCTAGGTGCTGGAAGGCAGGCAGCTTTCTAATTCCTCTTTTTTCTGAGATTGGCATAGAAAGTCTCCTACCTCCAGTTGTCCATATGAATAACATATAACAATGTTAGATTACAGTCCTGTGTATACAGTTGTTCATAAGGAAGTACTACTGAGAGTAGACTGTCTTAATGGAAAATGGAAGTATTCTGGAATTAATCACTTCAAGAAGCCAGTTGAATTTCACTCTTAATACTCTCTCTCATAAGAAATGCTTTATCTGTATAATAAGCTAGTCGACTTATAAGAGATTTTCGAATAAACTCCCTGGGAGCTTTATTAAATCCAGGGAGCTTTTTATTTTACTGGAATCCCCAACTTGCAGTCTAAAGTGATAGCAGTTTATATTCCATGGCACATTGTGCCAAAGAACCTGGAACAGCGCTGAGTTTACATACTCTCTTCTACATGTGCATAGGGCTGCAAAACTTAATGTTATTACCATGTTTAAACTATTTATATTTTCCTGTTAACAAGCATGATTTAAATAAGTAGCCAATATAAATATGTAGCACTGACTTTGCCCATCTTTATGCATCTATTTCCACTCTTCTTCCTTTGCACCTGAGTTAAAATATATGTTGTAAGATGGAAAATTAGAAGGTTGAGCCTCCTGGAGTTCCTATTCTTTCTTAGCATCAGAGTGGGCAGCATTTGTAGTACAATTAATACTGATTCATGCTTCTTTTGTCTCCATAGGCGTAAGATGATGGGTAATATCATCCTGCCTGGAATGAAAACTATGATGCAACCAGTTCTCATGAGCCTTTGGTCCCTCCTAAGTTTAGCTTTTAATCTATTCCTTCAGGGATGCAGAGGATGCAGTGTATGGACGGGATGGATATGATTACGATGGGTACCGTCTCCGAGTGGAATTTCCTCGAAGTGGCCGGGGCACCGGCAGGGGAGGCGGTGGTGGTGGAGGTGGTGGAGCCCCAAGGGGCAGATATGGACCCCCATCCAGGCGCTCGGAGTACAGAGTGATAGTATCAGGTAAGTTGTTTATTCACTTGAGACAAATCACCTCTGTTTAGTTTTATCATTTAAAAGTGTTACTTGAACTGCTGGTAGACATGTATCTCCGTCTGTGCTGTGCAGCGTGAAACTACAGGCTGGGCTTGTGGATCTTGTTAACTTCTTTTTTTAAAAAAAGAATTGTTGAAAGAACGTAAAAGCATGTTAACACTAGCTAATTGGAGACTCACTGTGGCACCTATGGAGCTCTGTGATGTAGCATTAACACTTTAAGTCTGTGCTACTGAAAAATTCCAAATTGTTTGAAAACAGTATAAATGTAAATGTAGGCAGGCAAATTTTTGATAATGTATTGCATATGCATATAGTAGTGAGTGAAGTAAAAAAGTTCTGGATCGCATCCCTCTATTTTTTTGAACTTTTAACTTGTTCCTTATTCAGGATTGCCTCCCAGTGGAAGCTGGCAGGATTTAAAGGATCACATGCGTGAAGCAGGTGATGTATGTTATGCTGATGTTTTCCGAGATGGAACTGGTGTCGTGGAGTTTGTACGGAAAGAAGATATGACCTACGCAGTGCGAAAACTGGATAACACTAAGTTTAGATCTCATGAGGTAGGTTTTTCCTCTTAATGTTTTGACCAGAATTGGATGCACAGGGTTGCAGTTGGATGCAGTAGGACTGAAGGTAAGGAGGTGCAATTTCTCTGTTTGAAGCCTAGACAGATGCAGAAAGCCAGTTCCGTCATTTCATGTTTTAAGATTCTGTGTAGGAAATATGTGGTGCAACTCCTCTTGGTTCTTATAAAAAAACCTCTTCAGTCTTTCAGCATGCCTGCAAAGGCAGTTCAAAAAGCTTAGACCTTTCAATCGAAAGTTGTGTCTATTTGATAGGGAGAAACTGCCTACATCCGTGTTAAAGTTGATGGCCCGAGAAGTCCAAGTTATGGAAGATCTCGTTCTCGCAGCCGTAGTCGTAGCAGGAGCCGTAGCCGAAGCAACAGCAGAAGTCGCAGTTATTCCCCGAGAAGAAGCAGAGGATCTCCACGCTACTCTCCCCGTCACAGCAGATCACGTTCCCGTACATAAATGATCTCTAATGGTCCTCCTTTTTGTAGAACCCCACCATGTTGTATGCAGTTTTCCTTTCTTGAGTACAATCTTTTCTTTTTTTAAAAAAAAAGTATCCAGATGTTTTATTCAAAATTGGCTAAAGTGTTGAATTGCATTCTTGTATAATATCCCTAGTGAATATTTGCTTAACATCAACATTCCCTCACATGTTTCATAGTGTATTTTAAAATGTTCTAGACAGGTTTCTCTCTAGTTAGTTTGTTTCCTGCTCACATTTTCTTCCAACTGTGATAACTGCTGTATAAAATGTCTTTGTTCAGCCATGGTTTCTACAAACTGGGGATGTTGGGAATGTTTGGGGTTTAACTTGTCTCTTCGGGGGAAGCTTACATTTTATCTTGCCTTTTCATGTGTCTTTCTGTAGACATATCTGAAGAGATGGATTAAGAATGCTTTGGATTAAAGGATTGTGGAGCACATGTCAATCATTTTAGGATTGTCAAAAGGAGGATTGAGGAGGATCAGATCATTAATGGAGGCAATGGTATGACTCCAAGTGCTATTGTCACAGATTAAATTGGCAGTATTGACCTTATACAGAGATACCAGCTGAACACACACATACACCTGTTCCTGATGTGCTTTAGTTAGCTGTAGTCTTTTAACCACCGGGATAGCAATTGTTCCTAGAAGCATCCTTGTGACTGTTTCAGTCCTGGGGTGGGGATGGGGGTAATGTATACTGAGTGACTGAAGTGTATTGGTTGATTACGGGTGCTGCCTGTTAACATACTTGTAAAATGCAGGTTGTTTCAGACCTGTGCGTATAATCTCAATACTGCTAAAATCTGCATGTCCTCTGTGTGACTGATATAGCATTGCTGTTTCATCTTAAAAGTAATGGAATGAAAGCAATTTTAAGAGGGGGTGGGGGAAAGCACCTTTGGGGGGGTTCCTTCTGAAGTCCACCCGCTTCTCCTTCAGGATAAGTCAGGAGTTGACTTGCTAATAATTCAGTGAATTTTGTTACGTTCCAGATTGAAAACAATGAGCTTTTAGTTTAGATATGTAGTAGACAAATAGCTTTAGCAGCAAATTTTTGCAACGTATAACACTTTTTTGCAACCACAAAACCTGTAATGCAATATAAAGGAATTGATATATTGGCATTATCAGTTATCCTATGTAAATATTAGAATGTTCGTCAATGATTAATATTGGTAAAATTTGAGCTTCACAATTCAAAAGCTTGTCTCGGGGAATTGATAGTTATCGATGACCATCTTAATGATTATTGGATGGCAGACATAACTGATCATTTCCCAGAATCCTATTTTTCATTACGGTATCTAACTTTTTGCCTCCTTTTTTTTGGTTTTGCTGGTTATAAAGGTTTGGATTGGAGAGGGCTCACTGGATCCCAATCCTTGGAGCTGGATCATTGGATTCAAATCATAATGTGGATAGGATAGGGAGGATCAATTGCAAGGATTCATGGAGCGGGATCAGATTACCAGGAACATAGGAGTGGATTCCTGCCCCAACCAAACCGCACTCGTGTGGATTTTTATTCAACTCAATTGGCTATTCCAAAGATTTTTCCTATTTTTGACGATTGGAGCCCTTAAGATGCACGATGGAGTTTTCCCTTTTTTGGTAAAAGGAGCAAAGCAAGGACCTGGAGAGGTACGCTGGAGCATTCTCCTTGGAAGGATTCCGCACGAGTAGATGGTAAATGTTAAAGGGGAAAAGGGGGGGTTTGTTTGAAAACATTAAATCAATAAGTCATTTATCTAAATTTAAAGACACAAAAGAAATTGGAGTCTAAAGATTAAGTAGGTTTTCAATTGGCTATTGCCTTTTTTTCTTTTCATAAATAAAATTTTATAAAAAATTGCATGGTGGTTCTGTTGTATTAAATGATGCCCTCTTTGCACTGTCTTGTGCCATGGTGAGTTCAGCTTCCATGCTCTTCTGCTGTTTGGTCTGGGAACTGAAGTAAGACTGGTTGGGCTTAAATGGGGATTGCATGGCCCATTCATTTGTGTTGGATTGGTGGCAGCAGGTTTATGGGAGCAGTCTGGTGTACCATGAGGAGCGCTGAGAGTGGCTCCCGTTGAAGCTGAACATCCTGGATCTCTCATGGCAGTGCATCTGACGTTCACAAAAGTGTTCTACTCTAGTGTGGTGCAGAACAATGTTGCACAACCGTTCAGTGAGCGCAGGTCTGGATAATAAGGTAAGAGTGTCAAAGTGCTGTATGAAGCGCAACTAGTCAGAGCTGATGGTGTAGTTTCACATAACCAGTCCTTGGAGTGTAAATTTCCCATAGATTCTATAGGCTAACATTTGTCTTTGGGCCCTTTAACAACTAGAAATATTGTGCCTCTGGATTAAAAGTAAACTCAATTAAAGGAGGCTTGGTTAAGCTTGATAGCAACAGTTACAGGAACTCCTTGTATTCTGGTTTCCTAGACCTGTTCTGGCAGAATTGTTACTGCAGTGTAGGGTGTGTTCTTTACCAAGGAGGAAGGGGGGGGATGAGCTTACTTGTCTGTGGGCATTTCTCAGCCAGACCAAGCCACACTTAAATCCCCCAAATAGAGTAGTATTCCTCGTTCACACCAAATCATGACGGGCTATTCTCACCCTCTGATAGACCATACAGCTGATACTGTAACACTGACACTTCTCAAAGTTGAGGAAAGTGAACAGGGCAATCTTGCAGGTATTCACCACCAAGATACTCCATCCTGGCAGTCCTAAAGCTTCCATAAGTTTGAAGTGTGGTTTCGAAAGGGCAAGGAAGAGGGTGGGTATGGGCAGTGGATGTTGATGTTACATGCTTCTGGCAATCCAGTGCAGAAACGTGAACTTGCAGAACTGGGACTGGTGCCAGCAATATTGGTTCAGAATACCCATCCGATAATTGGGCTGCACTGTAATTTAAAGGACTTCAAGATTTAATTTAAGAAAAACAGAAATGGCACAGAAGCTTCTTAATCTCCCAAGACAGAATAAGAGCATCCTATTGGAGCAAGAAACATGGCACTCCAGAATTTCTGCTGCATCTTTTGTTCCTGGTTAGCTATAGCCAATAGTAAAGGTTGCTAGGAGCAAAGCCCCAGTTATTTCTAGAGGGCTATATATTCCCTATCATTTATATGGTGAGCCAGTATTAAATCGGTTTCCTCTTGGCAAGCAGATCTTGTAACCTTGGGGCAACACAAAAATCCCATATGGCCCAGTGATTCTTCATGATGTCGAAAGGATAAAGCTTCATTCTTGGAAGCAAGGTCTGTAATCAGCCGTGAATCAGTGACTTCCCTCAAATCATTGGGTACCTAATCTTTCCTAGGGTTGTTAAAATACAGTTACAGAAATAAGGCCCCGATACTCAAGGATGTAATTTGAAATTCTTGAGTTGCTAGCCTAAAAATGTCATTTATAAAAGCCCCTTACAGAGTTGCAAGTGTTACTGTAGCACACTGAGGTTCCTCAAAGATACAAATTAAAAATAGTTTTTTTTAATGAGTTCTGCCTGGCAAATTTATACAACCTTAGCAAAAATTATTTTCTTAGGTGAGAGCTTTGTTTATTTGGTAAGAAAAATAACACAAGCAAGGTAACGGGTTCTTTTGATGTGGTAAAGGAACACTTAAATATTCATGTCAGAGAAGCAGTGTCAAGCCTGTAATTATCCTGTGATTTTCTTTTGTATCATAAACAGCTGGGTCCATAGCTTAAGGCTAAGGGTTGTTGGCCTCTGAAGATTTCACCCACTATATCAAACCCCCTAGAGTGACAGAGTGCATAATAATGGAAATTATAGACTCCAATAATTTTGCTGAGATCAAGTTGCATCATGCAAAACAGATTGATGCAGCTAGCTTGATGCCTTTGTTATCTGCGTGGGTATGATGGGAAATAGACTCCCATGACTTCTTAGTCATAGTTGTCATTATTTACTGTTAAGAGAAGCACTCCTTAGATGTTACCCCAGTGCACTGCATATCACCATGCACATCATTGTATCTGTTTTTTAAACTCCTAGCTTGTGTATTTAAAGAACATAAAAACAGTAGACAGGGTCGTTCTGGTGTGCCAAGCAAACAGATTTTCCCATGGTGAACAGCACTACATCTCTGTTGGGTTGCAGTGTTAGGTTATTTGCTAATCCCTTATCTTCAGCCTCAAGCCTGAAAAAAATATGTAAAACGCTGTGCTAAAATATTTGACAAAACAGATATTTCTTGCTGACTTATATGCCTTTGCATTTTACTCACTGTGTGTTTCCGAGGGCCATTGAGTCAGAATGATGGATTGCATTCAGTTTTAAATTTCACTCAGGCTGTTTTTCAAGAGAAACACAGAGAATGATTTAAATGCTTAGTTTTATCCTTCACAGTAACCCTTCCATAGAATTTCTAATCAGGGATTAGAAACAAAGCCTTTCCTGTTGTGGAAGAAGAAATTTGTTTCAAAAATATTCTTACAAAATTCTGTCAGGGATGTACTTGAAAAAGAGACCTTTTAAACATCGCATTCTACTTACCCAGCGTTTTACTTTTGACTCCTTGTTTCCTGATCAAGCCAAATAATATGCCACAAGCAGTGAGTAGTTACTCTAAAGAGTTGCCCTTAAATTTTCACTTCAGCAGTTGGTAGGTTAGACTGAAGGAAAAGATGGACAAAAGGGATCATAATTTCTAGCCGTGTGATAAATAAATTCTCCTTTGTCCTACATTCAAGCATGTTTGTAGAAAAACCTAGAAGTGTATTGTGAGCATGCAGGCACATCTCTGTGCAGATTTAAAACAATGACTGCTTTCTTTTAAAGAACGTTGGATATAGAGAGGATTTCAGACTTCAATTCCCTATAGTTCAGGAAAGGGGAAAAGCACTTCATAGGCCAGGAGGAATATAGGCTTGTTGGCTTCCCAGGTCAGTGGCTGCCCACTGTGTTAAAAGGAGTGCTCAACTAGGCGGGCCTCTGAAACAGCATGGTCTGTTTATTTTAAGACGACAGCAGGAACTACATTTAATAGATACTGTAGGGTGCAAAGTAAATAAGGTTTGCTTTGCAGAGATGTAAAGTGGTACAGTGGTAATGCTAAGTCAGCTCCTATGTTTGAAAATAATTGCATTTGCACATTGGAAGCAAATTTCTGTTGTAGGCAAACTTTGGAATGTTGCTTCTGAACTCCTAAGGTATTCTGTTCTTTTGCTTGAAACTTTCCAAATCCGTTGGTCCTATTCATACTTTTCATTCCCCTTGTGTTGCTTTTCATGGGTGACGTTCCACTCAGACCTCCTTTGCCTGCCCCCTCCTGCTTGCTGATACGATGTGTTTCCTACAAATGAAGCCACCAAGCCCAAACTCTCAGATATCCCTTCTGCTACCAAGAGACTGAGTGGGAGTAGGCAAGTTAGCTGTGTTTAACTTCGTGGTGCTAATGCTGTGATAACGACCTCCCATCCTCATATAAGCTGCCTTTATAGATCTACGTGGGGCACACAGAACAGTCTCTGACCCAGAAGAGCACATGTTTTAAGGAAATGACCTAATGGGATGGAGAGAAAGGCCAGTGGGCAGATCCTTCTTGGAGCTGTCGATGGGAAGCTGCCTCCCCTTTATTGTGCCATACCAGCTTCTCCACACCTTCAAACGTCTTTCTCAATTCTGACGATGTTTATGTCAAGAGCGGGCAACCTATTGTCCCTCCAGCTGTTGGGCTGCATCTCCCAGCCTCCCATGCCTTTGGCTACCTAGAGTTGATGGGACCTGTAGATGTTGCCTCCTTGATGTGACATCTTGTCATTTTATCTGCTTCCTTCACTGCTGTGCTGCCTTTGCTTCTCCATTTCCCCTCTTCCTCCTCCTCTAGTGCTTTGTCTGATGAAGGTTCAGTCTCAGAAATCACTTCTAAAACCTGTGTTGGATCCATAGTTCCCAACATCTGGGATTGTGGGTGCTTTGCATGCTTCAGTCTTCAATTGACCAAAGTGAATGTTGTTTGTGTTCATTGCTTGTAAACATCTTGTGATTCTTCAGGAGCATTCTCGGCTTTCCTTTGTGCTGTTTTGAAAGTGTTCATATTTTTTTACAACTGGTGGCTTTCAAAAAGTTGGCCAAATAGCACATTTTATGGCTGTTTGGGTCCCGGTTGATGGATGAATGGGCTTAACCTTGAAGTACATGAAGCTGAATAGAAATGCAGTTGCAGTATCTTGTAATAAAAGTTGGCAGTATATATTTGTAAATCTGGCAAAGGTTTAACGTTTGTATCAGCAATGGGTGATGTGACATTTGGGGGGGTCTGTGAAGGAGATGATCAGCTTCAGGAGAGACAGATGTGATGATAATGCAGTAGGGAACATCTAATACTCTTGTAAAAATGTATTCAATTTCTGTGTCTCCGGTTGTCATGTCATAAATTCGAAATGAATACGGACTGTTCAAAGTGTATTGCTTATTATTGTTAATCTGTTTAGCTTGCTGTTTCTTTTCTGTGTTGCTGTTCAGAAAACCTCAAAAATAAAGCAGGAAAAAAAAGGAAATGAATAAATGAACTGCAATTAGTTTCAATATCATTTCTGTTAACAGAGGCACAGAGACCTGGAAACCTTCTGGTGGATGGTTTTTGCTCTTGGGAGCAAAAGAGGATTCCTTGAGCCTTGCCTGTCCAAAAGACATCCATGCGCCACCGCTGTTCTTACACCCTTGACTGAACAAGTGGAGGAGGAGATCCATTCCTGTTGCTGGATCATGGCCCAGGACGCTTTAACATAGGATTTCTTCAGTGTAACCACTGTTGGCATTTTCAGTAGTCCAAATCCACCTTGGGCAGGGGAGGGGAGGGATTCAGGAGTTGCAGCTCTTAAGAACTATAATGG